ATTATTCAAGACTTGTTTCAAAAGTGAGGTCATGGAGGCAGTTGTTGACAATCTGAATCTGCCTAAACTTACTATATTCAGATTATCTGTAGCTGAAAAAAATCAGATCAACTATCCATAGGGTTTGTTATATACATTATTTACCATTTAAATTAATGTTTGTAGGTATACATGTTATACAGGTAAAATGATAAAAACTATTAAAGGCGTTGAACGGCATAGATAAAATTGTTATTCCTATGAAAAACTTCAGAACATATGTAAAGTAGCACAGTCTTATTTTTCACATATTTGCCATATATTAACACTATTAATATTTTGCTAACAATATTGATAAAAATACTAATATTTAATAAATTATAAAAGTAGGATACATAGTAATATATTAGTTCTGAGTAGAAGACAAATTAAGGATGTTTTAGCATCAAATATTTCCTAAGATTTCAGGGAAGTCATAATATGTTGATACCAGATATTTTAAGGTATCTATATGGTCAAGTTTTTATAACAATGAAGTAGATACTCCTAAGTCTCTTCTCAGTGTTGAAATAATGCTATCAAAATATTGCTGAAGAAGGCATGCAAGTATCTGTTATGGGGTAAGTGACTTTACAAAATATAAAAATTAATATGAAAAATGAATGAGTTTAGTGAACAAAAGGCATATTTCAGAGTTTTGTTGAAAAGAGAAAAAGGAAAAGAGATTGTGAGAATAATGAGAAACTGCTGGCAGTTTTGTATATTCAGAATGCTTACTGCATTTAATCAGTAAAGGTTATTAAGCTTTCATCTTGCTTTTTGTTCCTGTGCATGTATCATAACATTTCTATAATAATTTTAATAGTCTGCATATTTCTAAAGCAACAAAACTAATTGAGCAGCAGTGACTACCCTTTGCTATTTAATGAACTGCATACATTAGACACTAGCTAGGCCCAAGAGTCACAAGACACAAACCCTGAAGAATCAAGAGGATGGTGAGCCCTGGGAGCAGCTTTGGGATAAGAGGTGGTAGGTCTAGACCCTCAGAGATCCCTGAAGGCCATCCTAGGGTCCTTCCTGGCAATGTCCTTAGAGACCTGCTGCTCTTCAGGTGATCTGTCAATATTGCCCTCAGCATCCTTTCCTGGACAGTTTCCTCCCACAGCTGAGTATTAAGAACCACCATGACCTTGAAGCTCATGATGACAGATCACCAAGAAGGGATGTGAAAGTATAGCTTCAGCTTGGCTTCTGAGCTGCAAGCAACTCATGAGCCATGGGTTGGCCTCCCAGTAACAGGGGAGTAGGTGTTCTGCTGCCGTAACTCGCTGTGGCTGTCAGTGGCACATTGGCAGCTTTCACCCAATATGTCAGTTTGCATTTTCAAATCTACAATTACAGTGGTAGAATTTAGGGCAGAAGTTACCTCTTTTAACTCAATTCACCTCCGAGTTAGTGATGTACTGTAATGTAGGTGGGCTAAGCTCCCCCAGTGTCACTGCAAGACACCAGAAAGTGATACATCCCATTCTATGATAAGTATCTGGGACTTTGTGGCACCTTTGTGGGTACTTCCACCTCTCCAGAGGAAGCCTAGAAAAACAGCTTGGGAAAAGTGCTTCACTTAGAGATGTATAAAGTCAGGCTAGATTAATATCATGAACTATGTCTTTTAAAAACAAAGTTCTGTCAAGGTTTTCCTGCTAATACCGTTGTTGCAACAACAACAGCAAAGCAGATTTATCAAGCTACCTACTTTGCATTTGTGTCAATGCTCCTGGCAAAATGAAATTAGTTCTGTTCAGCTGTGTCTTTGGCACTGCACATCTTTGGCAGGGGGCTCCTAACAACACATGGGGATTCTTTTAGCTTCAGGGAGAGGAGTCTTTGTTTTTTAGGACAGAAAACTCGAGCTCATTTCAGGAAGCATTGTGAGGTTTTGAAGTGGCCACGGTGTACAATATAATTAGTTACTTTGAGGTGACAGATTTGTTATAATTCGTAAAACTGGTTCCAACTGTGACAATGCAGTAAACAGTACTACCCACAGAAGTATGTCTACATGTGCACTGAAATATTTAAAAGATCAAGCCTTTGATCCTAATTTTACAAAACTCCCCTTTCCTCCTTCCAGCTGGAGCTACTTCCCACCATGCCTCCCAGCTCTGACAGTATCCAGCAGGACACGCTCCTCTCTCACATGTGGCATTCTCAAGAAGTGCTATTAAATAGAAATTGCTTACAAAGAAGGTGTTAGTATTTATAGAAAACTAGGAACTACCTAAAAAATTCTACAGATGTAATTGTATCTATTTTATCATCTTGCCCTGATAGATAAAAATAGGAATGACAATATCTAGGGTGTCCTTCCCATTAGTCAAACTATGGTGATGACTAACGCAGCCAAATGAATGTCAGTAAAGCCTACCTACCACATCATGATTCAGAAACTCTCTTGGGCCTCTTTTTAAGAGAGAAGCCACAAAAGCATAAAGGTTTAATCTGCATGTATTCGAAATTACTATATTATTTGTGAGGCAAAGATTCAAATAAGGCGTATTAGTTGCTCCAAACATGTCTCAGTAAAAACCATCTCTGCCTACATTCTGCAGATTGTACCCTCTTAGAAAAAAAAAAAAAAACCAAAACCAAAATCAACCCCCCCAGGTATTACAGAAAATTTGGTGAATGTTATGCTTTCAATTTGAGAAATCAGGTTGGTTTAGTACCAAAGGCCCAAGTATATTAGTCAAAGACAAAAAAAAAAAAAAAAAAAGAAATTCTAAGGTACCAGGAGCCTTTGGCAAGGGATCTGAAGAAACTCTTCTGGAAATCATAATGTATAAAGGTCATTGGATCACATGGCTTTAACATCTTACTGCCTGCTGTTAGCCTCAGAAGAAACTTGTGTCTTGCATGACTGTCCTTCTGAAAGCTTGAGTGATCAGCCTTCAGTGTAATGCTGTCATGACTCTGTTTCCCACTCCTGCATCTCAGGCCAGTCCAGTTCTGGAACAAAACTCTTTTTCCAGCATGCAGAAAAACTATTTTTGGGCTGGATTATTGGTGGTGTCTTAGGTTCTTTATTACAGTAGCTATTTGAAACTTTATGAGGTCTTAAGCGTGAGAGCAAGTGCCAGAGCTGATGTACCAACAAACAGTTACAAATTAGATGAAGTGGTGAAGACCTTTTACTATATAAATGTACAGAGCCACACAAAGGAATCTTTTCTCTAGTTCTGTGGCTCTTTATTTCTGATGTTAATACTATGCACCAACAAAGATGGAGAGGCTGGTACATAAAGTTGTATTTTAAGGAAAGATATAGTTGCAAAAAAAAACAAACTAGTGATTTCCCTTTAAAATAAGGGGCACTGAAATAGTAGTGCAGTGACATTCTTGTGACACTAACCTTCAATCTCTTGCCCAAAGCAAATAAGAAGCTTCACTTGCTTTTTTAAACATGGACATGGAAAACCATATACTCCTGATTAAGAAGAAGAAAAAAATTACTAAGTAATCCCAGGGCTCCAAGGAGCTATTCACAAACTTAATGTTAAGATGTAATCTGGTGATTACGTAATAATTTCCCCTCTCTGCCCATTCCAGAGTGGATATGAGATACTACAGTCTACATGCCTGGTCTTGAATGTTTAGTTCCAGGTGTGAGAGCTCATTGCAATATAACATTCCAGAGAAAACAGAAGTCATATCGAGAAAGGACTAATGTACATATTCTGGGAGAAACAGGTCCTAATTCAAAGGATAGGCAACAGAAGGTGTTGTGTTACCCCACTCAGGGTTAGCCTCTAGGAGCTGTGTGGGAGTTGGCAGACACAATTAACAAGCCTGAAATAACAACTGCCTTGAGAGCCAGCAAGAAGTAAAAAGCAGGGGAGGGGCCCTCAAGTAGGAAAAGTAAAATAACTGCAACAATAGAAGGATAAATCCAATCTCACCTAAAAACACCGATAACCCATCTGAGACTTGGACATGAAATCGACCCACTAATATTAAGGAACACAGGCCACAGGAGACACTCTAAACAATGAGTTTGGAAAGCTTCATGGAAGAAAACCAGTGATAGGCTTTTCTGTGGAATACGTGCCAGCTCCTGCTGCACACAGTGGTCAGAAGGGGACTCCATAAAGAGTGAACATTTATGTCTATCAGGATGTGGAGGAAAAAAAGAAAAGTCCAAGCACGCTGTTATTCTGTCCACTGCAAGTCCTTTGAAGCACTGACATGGTGGCCTACTGCCTTTCCAAATCCTGCCTACACATAACTTCCTAATAGACCTAAAAATGACTGATATATCACAGTATAGACAGACAGATTTTACAAACTGATATCTAGGATAGTCGCAGACAGATAAAGCATGCATGCAAAGCAAGTCTGACACGTCAAATTCACAGCATATGCAATATTGTCGTGCTGTATATGCTCAGAGAAGTTGCACAGTAAGTACCAGTCTGGCATCACACTTCTTGCACATGCATGTTTTATCTGCCCATACAGGGAAGTCTGAGTTCTCCCAGTGCATAGTGTCCTGTACATCCAGAAAGACACCTATGGCAACAGAAATACAGGCAAAACCATGCCAGGTATGCTCTTCTATTAGAAATTGCATTGTCCACATAATAACATGTATTAAACAGGACGTTCTGTACCACATGGGATTCTCAGCACTTTTGGACATTTATCTCTGTGACCACACCATGCTGTGATTGCCCAGGAGAGTGCAAAGGTCGACATTAGTGTATGTACATGAATTTGGTGGACAGAAGACACAGTGTGATTACCTAATATTTAATTAGGTTGCAACAATAGCACTACTGCCCATATCCTTGCCATGTGAGCTCATCTACAAGGCAACATGATGACACTACTGAAGCTTTGGGACGTAGTATCAGTAACCCCTGAGACATGACAATACTGTTCCCCCCATACCACAAGGATTCTTCTAGGAATTGTGTTTATAATCACACCAAAATTAAAGTTGCAGGTCACTGATTTACCTTCTGCTCCAAACAAGGTTATCTTCGAAGCTAAACTAGGTTGCTTAAAACCTTATCCAGCCTAGTTTTATCTTCATGGATGGAAAGTCCACAGCCATTCTGGGAAAGTGTTCCACTACTTGACCACTCTCACTTTGAACTTTTGTTTTTCTTATACACAACTGAAATCTCTCTGGGTGCAACTTCTCGCTTTTGTCTGTCGTCCTGTTGGTGCTCATCTCAGAGAGAAGCCTTGTGCCGTCTTCCCTATAATTCCCCCTGGGAAGGTGAACACTGTAATTAGATCCTGGTGTAGCCAAACCCACTTCCTCACACAGGACGTGCTCCAGGCCCAACCACCTTAGCAGCCTCCACTGACCTGGCTGCTGCTGGAGGAGCCCAAGCTGGACAGTGGGTATCCAATGTGGCCTCACAGTGCTGCACAGAGGGCACATACCTGCTGAATATATCCACAATGCAGCCCTCTAGGTGTGATGGCCAGGCCCCTTTCTGCTGGGCTACTCCCAAGCCAGTTGGTTCACGGTCTGTAATGTTCTACAAGGACAGTCTGTTCCACATTCAGGACTTTGGACTTGGCTGTGTTGACCAACACAAGGCTCTCACTGGCCCACTCCTGCAGCTTGCCAAGGCTACTCTGAATGGCATCTGTGGCCTCCAGTACATCAACTGATCCCCCCAGCTTGCCATGGAGATGAGCTGAAAACTTGCTGAGGGCGCATTTTGTCCCACCCACTGAGTGGTGAATATATCAAACAGGATTTGCTCCGCTATTGATCCCTAACTCCTCCCAATTGGGCATCAGTCAGACTTCAAACCAATGAGACACTACTCTTCAAGCCTGGTGGTACAGCCAGTTTTTCACACACATAGTCTGCCCACCCCATCCACATCTCCCCACTTATAAAGTTTTGAGGAAGCCTACCAAAAGCCTTAATAAAGACAAGCTTAAATGGCATACTCTGCTTTCCCCTTGATCACTAAGCCCAAAATCAGTGACATAGAGCCAGACACAACTGAACTTAAAGGTGTAACATTTTCCTTTTCTTCATTCATCTACAGTCTTCTAAACACCATGGCCTTTCAAATGACACAGGGGGTGAGCACACAGTAACATTGGCCAGCTCCCTCAACACTCACATGCAGGCCATCTGGTCCAGTGGACTTGTATATGCCCAGCTTGATAGAGTGGACTTTCTGTGAGTAGTTTCCTTCCCACCCTAAACCCTGAATAAGCCACAGAAGCTTGGGAGATGTGGAAAGCCCAAGCCCAGTAAAACCCAAGGTGAAGGAGTCCTTCAGCCTTTTCCTTGACCTTTATGGGCAGTTCAGTGACCCAATTCTGCAGCAGGCCCACATTTTCCCTTCTCTTCCTTTTGCTGCTGATTCACCTGTTGCAACTCCAGCCAACTTTTGGCTTTCCATATTCTACTCCTCTACTTAAGTATCGACCATCCTCTGTATAAAGTGATGGAATCTCAGACCAGTATAATTTGCTTATTATCTGCTGAATGCTTTCTAGAAATGCTGTTTAAGGAAGGTGGTTGTCTTTTATCCATATCTCATCTTTTGGAAGTTGCAAGCATATCAAGGTGCTTGTTCAAACATTTATTTAGCTGGTACTGTGGAAAATGCCATTGTTCTAAATTATTCTTTCTTCCTTTGTTCTTTGTTGTTAGTTGGTTTGTTTCCAGTAACCTCAAATTTGGTGCAGAAGCATAGGAAAAGGAAAAGTATACACACATCCACACCTGATAGGAGGGAATCAAATGATTAATTACCTTCCTCATGCAGCTTTGACTGCTAAACCATCTCTCCAGGAGTTTCTCTAATATTTTGTAATATTTCAGCTCTGCTGAAGCAACCTCACGTGGTTATTATCAAATAACCCAAGCCCTTAATGAGTGTTCCTTCTTATTATTCAGAATCTGGACTTTCTGACCCATTCTCCTCTAAGGCAAAATGGAGAAAAAAAAAAGAGAGAGAGAAATTAGTCAAAGTTTTATTAGTTATAGTCAGGCCATAAATGATAAATTGAAGGATTTTTTTTCTTTTTTAACAATCCAAACCTGGAAAATGGAAGTGTTTCTTGCTGTTCAAGCATTTGTATTTAGTCTAGAATGTTCCAAGACACTTTTCTTACACTTAAAGATATCACTTGTTCAACATACTCTACATTGGTCACTTCACTGGTTGTTTTTGATAGGGAGTGATGGGTCTCTTCAGTTTTCTAAACTGCCAAAATAACTAAGAAGTGTTTCTGCAACACTTTTCAATTAAAGATGTGGCTGTCTATAATAGGAAGTTGTTTGAATTACAATAATGTCAGAATTGTACACATTCTGAATAGTTATGTATTATACCTCTAATTCAATAACTTGGCTGATATTACAACAACTGTATGTAAGTTTGCCAAAATTTGTCTTTAAAATTCCTCTTCTGAGTGTTTTTGTCACATGTTACAGCTGAATTGTTGCATTTATTCTCTACTTTTGGGAAACTTTGAAGATGCTTGAATATGATGAATGCATACTTATAATAGAGTCATCTGTCACAAGTGTATTTACCAGTTCATTTGTCTAATTGCTCAAAAAGCTGCACACTTATTTGGATTATTAAATCTGCCTTCTCTCATACGGGTGTGGAATAGAATCAGGATCCAAATCAGGGCTTAGCTGATGGAAGACTGATAAAGCATGGTGCCACTACCCCTTTCCTGAGTCTCTATTTCCTTACTGCAGCACAGAGAGGAAAGTCTGCTAGCCACAGACCTATCTCTCAAGATCCTCTCCTGGTGACTAGGAAAAGCCTAGGAGAAGGAAAAGCTCTTCCCTATGACTAGGAAAGCCATAGGTGACAAAGGAGGACAGTAGCAGAAACTGCTCCAGGAACTTTACACACACATGGGCTAAGATCTGGCTGAGGCATGCTCTTCACATGTGGGATTCTGAATCATTCCCCTTCTACACCCTTCTGTCACCTGGGATCCCAAGAAACTTTCAGATGTCTCATCCCAGCTCCCCCTGGCACAGGAGCCAGGGGCTGTACCATCCCAACAATACTGAGTTTCTTCCTCCAGCTCTTTGCATTTGTGCTGGGATATCTCCTCCCAGAAGGAAGGAGAATATGTGTGTGAGGGGTGTGTGGGGGGGAGAACTTTCAATAAAATTAATATGTACCTCTTAAAGGTTATCTTTTAGGTTCTTTTCAGCCCCGAACACTACTTTTACTCCTTGAGAGTATTTAATTGAAATGCGAGGAGGAAACTGCAACCTGTGAGACCCTGTTCTACCACAGCTGGGTATACAGAGCCACTTGCTCATATGACATTGCCCAGCTACAGGAAAGGGATTGTGCATTTCTTATATCACAGACATACTCTACACAGATTCATCAAGACAGACACTAGTGTGTGGGAGCAGCAGGGCACATGCAGGTAGCAAAAGCAGTGACTGACTAGGGAAGGCCAGGCTCTGCAGGCGGTGTGAGAGCAGTGTGGCAGGGCCAGCAGCTGGAAGGACAGTGGCAACAACTGGTACAGCAGGAAGGGGTTTCTACCTCCCCATTCCACCCTGAACACTGTGGCACGGGGCAGGAAAGGATGATGAGCAACTTTACCTTCCTGAAACCTAGTCTTGATCTTTAGAGTTCACTTTCAGGTGCCTTCACAGGGTCTGTGCTGCTCTCTGTAGTGTTCCTGTCATCTTTACCCAAACTTTTGAATTACAGATTCAGTGATGACATCTGGGAGGACCAAGGAAGAACTCAGGAATGCTGAAAAGATAAAGCAGTGGAGACAAAAGGATAAACAGCAGTGGTGAAGTGGCTAAAACACAAGCATTGTCTTCTCCAGCAACAGTGGGTGAACTAAAGAACACAAAATCAACATTTTCCTCTCCAGAAGACCAATATTGAATTTACCCCTACAGCCACACCTGGGCAGAGGTCAACAACAAAGCTCTTTCCAACCTCTCCCTCCAGTGTAAGAGCGCTTTGGCTGTTATCAGCCAAATACCTTCTAAGGCCTCTAAACAGGGCCAGGGTATCTACTTCAACCGGTCAGGCCTCCGCGTGGTCTCATCTTCTCCTCTGGTTTCAATTCTTTCATGGATTTTGTCCCTTCACAGACTTCTCCACTGGTCTTGGGCCTGTGGTCTCCCTCAGTTAGAGTTCTTCAAAGTTCCACTCGAAACAAAGTGCTATTGTCCAAACTTTCTAGTTTAACCTAAGTTGGTGCTCCTAAAACCTCAGCTTCTAAAGGGGAAGATGATTAGATGTTAATCTCAGCTTTCATTGAGAAAAAAAAAAAGTGTTGTTATTTCCCTTTGGGTTTTGGAGAAAAGCTTGAGCATACCAAAGATAAAAATTACAGGCTCTAAATCAAGTAACGTACAATGTATTATTTCAAGATGCTATTTTTAAAGATGAAGACTTCACTCGTCTCATGACTTTTGACCAGAGACTTGGCTCAGGTTTTGAGTTTGCCTTCCATCACACAGGAAGGACAGCAGGGAGACCTCAAAGCAGAGTCCAGGACCCCAAAATTCCCAGCGTCTTCCAATAGCCTGTCCTGACAAATGTGCCCCAATTCTCAACATTCCTGAAAGATCTACAGCAAAACTGCCATTTCCCCCCTCTTTCCATGCCCGTGCACGCAGTGACCGGGACAGACAAGACCAGCAGTGGGTCTGAAATCCTCCAGTAACCAACCTGGGCAACACCAGGAGGTGACTTCATTGAGCATTTCCCTTTCTTTTAAAAAATGCAAACACAGAATCATGAGTTGGAAGGGACCCTAAAATCATCTAGTCCCAACCCCCTCAGCCATGGGCTGGGGCACCTCCCACTTGATCAGGTTGCTCAAGGCCTTATCCAACCTGTCTTTGAGCACTTCCAGGGCTGGGGCATCCACAACCTCCCTGGGCAACCTGTGCCAGTGTCTCACCACCCTCACCCTTAGGAACACCTAACCTAAATGTCCCCTCTTTCAATTTGTACCCATTTCTCG